AAGCAAATCATCACATTCTGTTAAAGGTAGAAAATAGACGTCAAATGTAGCCTGGGAGTTGTGGATATAAGTAGAAGTCTTGGAAATTTCCCTGGAGAAAGGCTGTGACATGAATGAAGTAAACTACGTCTATGAACTACAAATATTTGTCAGCATTAGCTATCCAAAATGTCTTCCTTCTGCCCAAACAATTCCCACACTCTTAGTTCCAAAAATGAATAAAAATGGAAAATTCCCACAGAAGCATAAGGCTATAGCCTGAGAAGTAACGTAGAGGGTTCCTTTCCCCAAATCAAATCAGTCATGACTTCACAGTACACTGTTTTGAAAAGAATTCTGAAAGAATGATGAAATTAAATATAAAAGAAATTCAAGATTTGCCCTCAACATGGAAAGAGAAATGGTAGCAGACTCTGTGTTTACTCTACCATACTTAAATGTGGTTCTGTCCACAGTGAGACTGAATGGATGGAGGATTTTGTGAGAAGAGAACAGAAATTTCATTGTTCATCATCATCACCATCGTCATTACTAACACTCATGACAACAAAAAGATATATTTAGCAGCTAAAATACGTACTGGTTTCTTGTACTTGCAGAAATATTCACAACTTCCTCTAATGTCCATTCATTCAATATGGTAACCTTAAATCTGGTGTGCCATCTACCAAACATAAACATTACTCTAAAGATTGCCTCTATGTTTCTATTATATGCCTCTGAAACCTCAACTAAATGCATGTCATTGAATCTTCCTGTTCTACCTTCCACATCACTGAAACACACATTATGCATCTTTCTCTACCGTGTTCTGTTTACTTTTTACAGATCTCTCTTCCAGTAAATTCATTCTATCATAAGTTGTGCTAATTGGCTGTTTACCTCAGTCACTGAATTTCAAATTTCAATCATAATATTTTGTTTTCTCCCTAGAGATTACACTTTGTTCTTTACCCCAATTAGCAGCTTTGATAATCTCTTATTTTATCATACTTTCAATATTATATTTATTTAAATTGTTAAACATTTAAATTATCACCATCTAATAATACAAATGCGTAGATTTGCAAGTCTCATTCTATAGTTTGATGTTATTGCTAACTCTTGCTCAGGTGCTTTGTTTATTTGTGTTTTCAGTGATTTTTTAATCTTCAGTTCATGTTTCCTTATATTATTTGTGAGCATCATTGACACTTGAGTTTGAAATGTTTTCCTTCAGAAATGATTCTATATTACTAAGTTCAGATACCTTAGGTGCAACACCAATCCCAAACCCCTTTAAACAAAAATTGTACCTGGTGTTTTTTGGTGTCATAATAGTAATAATATTTAGTCTGTGTGTCTACATAAGTAGATGAATGACGTTAAAAATTATCAAGGGAAGGAGTGATGTCAGCATCTTAACAGTGAATGACATTTCTCCTTTTGGCCCTGCTTCTGTAGCAGTCAGTTGGATATCCATCCACAAACAAAACCACCTTTGTGGGAGTTGTAGTATCTGGCACTATATGCTAAGAAGCCAGAAGGAATCTCGCCTACCTGTGCATCCAGCAATAGGTAGATGGATCTCATTATGGGCTAAAAGGTCAGCAGTGGCCAGTGAACCTGCCCCAACCATCTTGGCTATGGTCAGGTAAGCCTAGAGAGTGCAGACTTGGGAAGACACCCATGAATAAGAGACACATTGTGGAAGCCCAGCCTTCCTGAGAGGGAATTCCAGCACACTAGGTGGAACAGAAAAAAAGTATGAATTTGGTCACAGTTGAGACAATGAAAGGTGCTTTTGCAGCACCTCATCCCCTCAAGGTAACACTGCACAAGCAAAACTATTCAGCAGTGGCAAGCTATCCTGCAGGGAAAAAAGAACAGTGAATGAGCACTCAGATTACCCCTGTAGTGCTGGACACAGCCAGAGAAACCTGTCTTTCTCCTGAAGTACCTAGACTACTAAGAAGAGAGTTCATGACTGCAGGGAGAAGAGAGATGAGGAAATGGGCAAATAAAAACATCGAGGGGCATTAACAAGGCATAGTTGCTGCTGACTGCACTCAGGATTTTACCAGAAAGTTCAACCATGAGCCACCAGGAGTACTTTACCAGATGATCTCCTGACCAGATGCATGGGACACTCAACCTGCCAGTGCTAAGCCCATACCTCTCCCCACTCTGCAACTGGATCCTTGTACACATTTCCAAGGGCAGCAGTGAGAGTAAATCTGGTAAACTGAGTGCTCTCAGAAAAACAGATGTGGGTCTGTGGGAAAGGGAGAAATTACAAACATGAGCTGTAACACCTCATTCTGGGAAAGAAAAAAGAGGTTTCCCGTAGCCAATCTAATTAGTGGTAATAAGCGTAGAAAACACAACAGCTTAAGAATTCTGCAACAAGAAGGAGCAAGAGGATGCAGCATGTGTACCATACAAAGGCAGAGAAAATCTCAGATATAACAAAATGAGCAGAACGAAATACTTGCTAAAGAGATAAATATTATAAAAAAGAACCAAACAGAAATTCTGAAGCTGAAGAATTCAATTAATGAAATGAACAGTTTAATAGAGAATATCTGCAGTGGAGTAGAGCAAATGCAAGACAGATAAGTGAGCTAGAGGACAGAAAGTTTGAAATTACCCTGTCAGAGCTAAGCAAAGAAAAAAGAATGACAAAGTGCAAAGAAAACCTACATGGTCTATGGGATTCCATCAAAACACAATTAGAATAATTGTGGTTCAGAAGAAGAAAAGAGACAGAAAGGAGCAGAAAACTTATTACAATAAACAATCCTGAGACTTCCAAAATATGGGGATAGATTTAAACACCCAAGTTCACAAAGTGAACAGATCATTCTGCCCTCATCCAAGAATAATACCTGACATTTTACTGTAAAGATTCTTCTTTTCACTGAAGCTCAGAGAATTTGGTTAAGAAGAAAGAGAACCTAAGGAAGAGCCATAAGAGGAGGGTGTGGAGCAAGGGAGAATGAAGAGTTATAGAATGGGAGATATCATAACCTTTATAAAACTTATAAGGACCATAAATCTTACTCACATAGGTCTTACTGGGAGAATCATATGGATATTGAGATAGCGCAGTATCACTGTTTTCTATAAATCTGGCCCTCTGACCTCAACCCAGATTCCCCAGGATAACAGAGTTCTTGCCAAAGGTTGAAATTGCTTATTTCTTTTCAAAAGAATTATTCAGGTGAGTCCCATTGCATTCCAAGATTTCATGGTTTAGGCCATGAAATTGGATGTTCACTCACCAAAGAGATACCCACAACTGGGAATCCTCTTAACTGTGTTATTAGGGCAGAGGTGAAAGGAAAAATGACAACCATAGGGAGAAAACTCTCCAGGTACTTGCTCTCTGGAGTCATGGTTTTCAGGGCATATTTTCCATGGTAATTTCACGCCCCAGTTTGTCATATCCCTTCTGATTCAATTCCCCACTTCCTCATGGCCCAATTATGATCTCATGATTATAGCTTTTCTTTTAACAAGCTTGGAATCATTTGAGCTGGAAAGGAATTACAGATTGTCTAGTCTAACACCATAATTTTCAAATTGAGGGACTTGAAGCCAGAAGAGCTAAAAGATTTGCCAAAAATGACACAGCTGGCTGACAATATAGTTTGGTAAAAATAAATTAGATATATGAATGCTTCCCTGTTTACAAAGCATTTTCTTTTTAGATATACACACTTTCTCAACTCCCTGACCTGAATCAATTATCATAGCAGCCCTCGGTGGCTGACACGGCATGATTTCCTATGCATAAGTGAGGATATAGAACAATAAGGAATACAATAAAACTAATTTATGACAGAGCCTGGAATCCCCAAGAGGCTCAGACCCCTGGAACTTGAGTCTCACCTCCCTAGACATGCCAGTACAGCCATCATTTCTGAAGTCTTGTATTGTCTCTGAGAAGCTACCATGGGGCATCTCCAGGCCACTTATGCCCAGAAATTGATGATTTTGATTTCTTTCTAGTCTCTGAGAATCTTCCCAATTCTTGACCATAAAAGTACTGCTTCTTTCTACCATTTTTTTCCCATTATTTTTTAAAATTCACTTCACAAGGAGGCTCAAGGAGTAAGATAGAGGGAACAAAGTTATTTGGGAGTGAAATCAGATCAATATTTCTCCTGCTCTTCTCCTTTTGTCTTTTCTCTTCTCCTCACCTCCCCTACCCTTCCCTCTGTTCCCTTTCTTTTTCTCTCTCTGCGTTTCTCTCTCACTTTCCATTTTTCTCTTTCTATGTCTCTCAGTCTCAGACTCTCTCTCTCTCTCTCTAAGATTATAAAGAATTCATTTTAAAATTATTTTTAATTTTCACATGTTTACTTGTTCTACATTATTTTATTTTTAATTAATATAAATGAATGCTCAACAATTAAAAATAAATAAAAGAAATGAAGAAAATTGGCGAGGAAAGAATTGTCTGTGTGGCTTCATAGCTTCTTTTATTTTCTTGACGTATAATATGTATCACAAACTGTTCTCAAAAAATAGTTTTATATAACTGGGTCTAATCATGGAAACAGGCTTTTTAAACTGAATTCAATGTTGATGACACTGCCTCAAAGAGATCACTTGGTGGTGGCAGCTAAACTTAATGGCACCAGGAATCAAGGAGCCAAGTTTTCACTTCTCTCTGCCTAGCTATCTTGTGTCTCTAAAAAGGTCACTTCCGTATTTTTATCCCTGTCTTCTTTTTTTTTTCTTTTTTTTTTTTTTTGAGGAATATCAGTCCTGAGCTAACTACTGCCAGTCCTCCTCTTTTTGCTGACGAAGACTGGCCCAGAGCTAACATCCGTGCCCGTCTTCCTCTGCTTTATATGCGGGATGCCTACCACAGCATGGTGTGCCAAGTGGTGCCATGTCCACACCCGGGATCGGAACCGGCAAAACTCGGGCCGCCGAGAAGCAAGAAGCGGAACGTGTGAACTTAACTGCTGTGCAACTGGGCCGGCCCCTAGCCCTGTCTTCTTTATAGAGGAAATAATACCTGCACGAATATGGTTCTTACTGAGTAAAATGTGTTAGCCTCTTTATCACCTTCTTGAGGGCCTCTTTGATCTCCTTGTTCCTCAGACTATAGATAAGAGGGTTTAACATGGGGATAAAGATAACATAGAACACTGACAGCACCTTGTCCTGCTTGTTGGAGTGGTTAGAGCTGGGAAGCAGGTACACAGAGAGGCTTGTGCCATAGAAGATTGTTACAACTGCCAGGTGAGAGGCACAAGTATTGAAGGCCTTGGCACTACCTTTCACAGAAGATATTTTCAGGATGGAAGCTGCAATAAAACCATATGATAAGATGGTAACTAGGAAAGAATTGAACCCAACAAAAGTACACACCAGAAAAAGAACCATTTGGCTGATGGAGGGATCAGAGCAAGACAAGGAAATAATCTGGGTTATGTCACAGAAGAAATTTGGAATGATATTGGACCCACAGTAGTAGAGATGAAAGCAAGCCACTGTTAGAAATAAGCTACCAAGGAAACCACTCCCACAGGCCCCAGCAACCATCTTCTGACAAAGGCTGGGAGTCATGACGACTGAGTACTGCAGAGGCCTACCAATAGCAATATATCTGTCATAGGCCATGGCAGCCAAAAGGCAGCACTCAGCCAGACCCATCCAGCACCCAACAAAATACTGGGCGGCACAGGCAGTGAAGGAAATCATTTTTACATCTCTTAAGAAGTCTGAAAGCATCCTTGGGCTGGTGGAAGAAGAATAGCAGATGTCTAAAAATGACAGGAAACTGAGAAAAAAGTACATAGGTGTGTGCAGGTGGGAGTCCATCCTGATTAGGATGATGAGACCCAGGTTCCATATTAGAGTCACAAGGTAGATTCCTAGGAAAATTGGGAAGAGGATAAGTTGCAGCTCTTTTTCATCTGAGAGTCCCAGGAGAACAAACATGACCACAGAGGTGTGATTTCTCTCTCCTTCCATGGACCTGATTGGTACCATCTCTGGAGAAAAAGATGAGAGGTAAAAATGGTTTCATTTTCAAAAAACACAAAGAAATATTCTTTTTTCTTTTTGCAATCATGCAGCTGACTAAATATACAACATTGAATCATGAATGTTGAATTAACCTGTTTCCTCCATCTTAACTGAAAAATATTGTCATTCTCTCTTTGCCAATGAAAGACAGTAAATAGACATCATTCGTACATTATTCCCTAAAATGTCTTAAGGTTTTCCAGTTCCAGATGTTACAAATATACGACAATGGGGAATTGACTAAATTAGGAAAATGCTGTCATCTCTCTAAATGGTGAAACAGAACGATTCTGCTCAGCTATGGCTCTGATATTGTTTCAGTGCTTGAGGAAGCCCCAGAATCATGCTGGGCCTCGTATGTCAAACGAGCATGGTGAAGTCGGTGCTCTTTAAAATATCCATGGGAACTAATATTCAATTAATCTGTAATTAGGGAGGGTGGGCAATTTTGTAACTGCCTTTCTGTTTTCATAAACCCAGGAAAGAGATAATAATAATATAACACGATGATGGGAAGAGTCACAAACCAAGAAGCAGCCTGGGAATAGATGTGACTTAACCAACTTTTGACTCTAGGAAGTCTCCTGAGAAGTTATATAAGACAAGACTGAAAGAGCCTTTATGCTCCCTTCTTTGCAGGTGCAGATTTTTCTTTTCTCAAATCAGAGATACTTACAAGTTAAATTATCTAGGACAGTGATTCCTGATCTTCTTTGGGTCAATGATACTTTTGAAATTTGTTGTAAACTCCAGACCCTATAACCAGCAAACTGTAACCACTTACTACCTTTCTGTATGTTTTCTTTTAATTTTTTTTCTTTTGGAGATTGGCACCTGAGCTAACGACCGTTGCCAATCTTCTTTTTTCTTTTTCTTTCTGCTTTTTCTCTCCAAATCCCCCCAGTACAAAGTTGTATATTTTAGTTGTGGGTCCTTCTATTTGTGGCACATGGAATGCCGCCTCAACGTGGCCTGATGAGTGGTGCCATGTCCGCTTCCAGGATCTGAACCAGCAAAACCCTGGGCCGCCATAGCGGAGCGTGCAAACTTAACCGCTCGACCGCGGGGCCAGCCCCCGTGCATATGGTTTTATTGGATGCTAAATCACCCTTGAGTCTATTCGTGGTTCGTAGGTTCAAGGCTTCTTCTATAAAGTAGAATGGGTTGAACTCATGTAAGGGTTTCGATACTTAGGCAATAAACATGGGGATTAGGAAATTCAGGCAGGATTTCTGGAAGTTCTTTCTCTTTTTCTCATTGGAGCCAGTCCACGGAAGGCAAGCACTAAGTCATGAGGCCAAATGGTAAATAATCAAAAGAATATTTTTGCCTCAGGCACTGTATGTCCTCTTCAAGATGCACTAGCTGCCATCTCTCCAGATGGTCATTAGAACATCTCCCAACACAAACACATTTTTATTCAGATGAACTTAAACTGGAAGGTAAATCGTGGGGTGCTGTGAAAGGTAGAAAATAGATGTCATAGCATGGAAGTTGTGGATATGAGTAAAAGTCGAGAATTCCCTGGAGAAAGAATGTGGCACTAATGGCATAACCAGTGTCTATGAACTACAAAAATTTATCAGCATTATCCATCCAGCATGTCTTCCTTTTCCTTAACCATTTCCCAGCCTCTGAGTTCCAAAAATGAATAAAAAGATAAAATATCCATAGAAGCATAAGACTTTAGTCTTGGAAGTAAGGTAGAAGGATTCATTTCCTAAAATCAGTGCAGTCATTTCTTCACGATGCACTGTTTTGAGAAGAACCCTGAAGGAAAGAGGAGATTAATTGGAAAAGAATACTAAGATTTTGCCATCACTATGGAAGGAGAGATGGTCGCAGACAGACTACATGTTTACCATCACGGAATTAGATGAGGTTCTGTCCACAGTGAGACTGAATGGAAGGAGAATTTTGTGAGCAAAGAGCATAAAATTGCATTCTGCATCATCATCACCATCAAAATCATAGCCAATAATTATGACAACAAAAAAGACTTATTGAACAGCTACAGTACATAATGAACATCTCCTTCTACTCATGGAGATATTCATGGTTTTCTCTAATGTCCATTTATTCAGTATGGTAAACTTAAGCCTGTTGTGCTGTCTACTAAGCACGGATATTACTCAAAATTGCCTCTATAACTCTATTATATGCCCATGGAACGCCAGTTAGAGTATGCTGAATCTTCTAGCTCTATCCTCCACATCACTGAAATATCCATTATTTGTATTTCTCTAATGTGTTCTGTTTAATTTTTACAAATTTCTCTTCTAGTAAATTCATTCTATCATAAGTTGTGCTAACGGGCTAACTCATCCATTAATTTAAATCATAATATGTTGTTTTCTCTCCATTATTCTTTTTTTTATCCTTTTCTCAGATACTTAGTTTTGATAGTCTCTTATGGGTTCATCATACTTTTCATAGTATTCTTTATTTATACATATTATAAATATGTATAAATACCTATTTAAAATATTGAAATTATCTTCTTGAAATTACTATGTAATGATTTAAATACATCTTTTTGCAAGTCTGATTCTACAGTTTAATGATATGGCTGACTTACACAAGGTGCCCTGTTAACTTGTGGCTTAGTGATTATTTTTAATCTTGACTTCATGTTTCTTTAAAAGTTATATGTTAGAATTATTGACGCTTGTGTTTAAAATTTGTTTCTTCACAAATGATTTATATTACTTTTGTCAGATACCATGGGCACAATACCAACCCAGAATCTCTTAAACAAAAATTTTGATTTGGTGTTTTTTGGTATTACAATAATGATAATATTTGGGCTGCAAATCTACATAAGGAGATAGATGAGATTAAAAATTATCAGAGGAACTAGTGATGTCAACATCATAGTGACAAAAGACATTCCTCCTTTTTGTCCTGCTTTTGTAACAATCAACTGGACATCTATCTATGAACTAAAGAGCCTTTGTGGAGTTGTGGTATCTGGCATGATATGCCAAAGGATCTAGGAGGAATCTCTCCCACGTGTGCATCCAGTAATAGGCAGACAGACCTTAGCACTGGCTTCAAAGCCAGCAGGAACAGCAAAACTGCCCCAACCCAATTTGGTCATAGTCCAGTAAAGACTGGAGACTGCTGACTTAGGCAGACACCCATGAATGAGAGAGACTTTGTGGAAGCCCAGTCTTCCTGACAGGGGATTCCAGTGTACTCCTGGGGCAGAAAAAAGGTGTCAGTTTGGTCACAGTGGAGACAGTGAAAGGAGCTTCCCCAGCACCACCCTCTTCAAGATAACACTGCACAGGTGGAACTACTCAGCAGTGGCAAACTCTCCTGCACAGGAAGAAGAGCCATGAATCCGTGCCCAGCTACACTGGTAATGTGAGACACAGCTGAGGAACTCCATTCTCTCTAGAGTTATGTAGACTACTGAGGCAGACAGACTATGAATGGAGGGAGAAGGGAGATCAATTAAGAGGCAGATAGAAATATCAAAGGAATTAAAGGGGCATCGGGTCTCAGGATTTCAGCAGGAAGTCCACCCATGAGCCTCTAGGAGTACCTCACCAGAGGATTCCCCCCACCAGATCCACTAGACTCCCCAGTGCTAAACCCACACCTCTCCCCACCCTGCAACTGGCTCCGTGTTCACATTCCTGAGTGTAGCAGTGAGAGCAAATCTGGTCAACTGAGTGATCTCAGAAAAAACAGACCTGGTCTGTGGACAATGGAGAAACTGCAAACATGAGCAGGAGTGCCACCTTCTGGAAAACAAGAAAGAGGTTTCCAGTAACCAGCCTGGTGAGTGTTAAGCAGAAAAAAACACAGTAGCTTAAGAATTCTGTCATGAAAGGGAACAAGGAAAGGGGAGCATGTGTACCCATACAAAGGCAGAGAAAACTCAAGATCTTTTATTATGCTACTCAACAACACTTAACTTGAAATTAATTAAAGATTTCAATATAAGACCTAAAAACATAAAACTTGTAGAAGAAAAAATAGAGGAAAAGCTCCTTGGCATTGATTGTGACAATGATTTTTTGGATCTAACACCAAAAGCACAAGCAACACAAGCAAAAATTTAAAAAAGCAGGACTACATAAAACTAAAAAGCTTCTCCACAGCAGAAGAAACAATCCAAAAAAGGTGAAAGGCAACCTATAGAATGAGAGAAAATATTTGCAATCCATATATCAGAAAAGGAGTTATTTCCAATATATTTAAATCTCATACAACTCAATAAAACAATCAGTCTGCTTAAACAATAGGCAGTGTAACCAGGCATTTTTCAAAAAAGACATTCAATGGCCAACAGGTGTGTAAAAAAGATGCTCAGTATCACTAATCATCAGGGAAGTGCAAATCAAAACCACCTGTTTTTAGATATTGTCTCACACCTGTTAAATGATTATCATCAAGACAAGAGAGAACAAGTGCTGGCAAGGATGTGGAGACAAGGGAATTCTTGTAGACTTTCATGAGAATGTTAATTGGTTCAGCCACTATGGAAAAAGGTATGGAGTTTCTTTAAAAAATTGAGAATAGAACTACCATATGATCCAGCAATTCCACTTCTGGGTACACATCCAAAGGAAATTAAAAAAGGATATCAAAAAGATATCTGCACTTCCATGATTATTGTAGCATTATTCACAATAGGCAAGATATGGAAACAACCTGTGTCCATAAATGCATGAATGGATAAAGAAATTGCGATACACACACACCATAAACACATACACACACTGGAACATTACCGAGCCACAAGAAAGAAGAAAATCCTGCCATTTGCAACAACATAGATGGCCCTTGAGGGTCAGATAGAGAAAGTCAGATGTACATCATTATATTTCAAAATCTGTATAGGCTAGATCTTATTGTTTCCACCACAAAAAAAGAAATATACTTATGTGACATGATAGAGGTGTTAGCTCATGCTATGGTGGTAAGCATGTTGCAATATGTAAACATTTCAA